GAAACCCCCCCCCCCCCACGCGCATCTTAACATTCTTTTTGCTAATAATATTCCAATGTGTGTCCTAAAATCTTACCATAACTTTTCTTTTCATTGGTGCTGTTAGTTTTATACTCCCTCTCTCCCAAAATAAACTCAATTTCATATTTGGGTTGTCCCCAAAAAAAAAGTTAGAAAAATTAGTTCGATGAGCATATCTATCATTCTATCTGCTGATTTAGTAGATCATTCCCAAATTTGTTGCTTGTTTTACCTCGTGGAGTAAACTTTTATACTTTTCATGATCTTTAATTTAAATTTTTTTAGGATGCACACCATAAGATTGTCGATGATTCTGAAATCATAGTTGATTACAATAGGCAGCGATTGATGCCAGGATGGATTCCAAGAAGGCTAGGTTAGTCTAATTTTCATTTCACTTGTAGCCCTAATCTGAGGTGAGTTACTTCTTGAGGCGAGCTTGTTTGATAGGAGGTGGACTTGGTGGCAAAAAAGAATCTGGACAACTTCGATTTGGAGGCCGTGAGAGGCCATTTCGTGCCCCATTGTATGTCTTGATCTTTTCACTCTTTTCCAAGGATTCATTTCAATTATTATGATGATAAGCTTGGTATAATATGATGCATTCATTGAGAGATCTGATTTCCACACATTAAGGGTGTTAGAGTATATATAAAAACCTTCCTGAGCCACAATCTCAAGCTTGAGCTTTTGGTTGAGTTGGTTTCTTGACATGGTATCAGAGCCTTGATGACCAAGAGGTCACGAGTTCGAAACTCATCGCCACCCAGTTTTTAAAAAGTTAAAGTTTCACGTGCAAGGTTCAAAAAAGTCACGCATGCACGTGAGGGGGCGTGTTAGAGTATATATAAAAACCTTCAATCACAAGCTTGAGCTTATGATTGAGTTGGTTCTATGACAGGGGTTTGATTATCACAAATCACGCACATGGAGAAGTAACAAAAAAAAAACTTATGGAGTACACATTGAAACTCTGCAATGAATATTATAATTGAGGGGGGGGGGGTGTTGATAGTCTGATAGTGTGTTTAATTGTGAATTGTAATCGTTAGCAACTTAGCACACACCTTCACTGATTCTCACAGTTGCTGGGTGAACAATCTCTATTTTTATGTTTGTTTTTCTTTATAATGATGTTCCCTTTTTTTATGTTCATACTGTGGTCAATAATGCAATGATAGAGTATGAAGTTTACCTTCTAGTGGATACAATTAGATGTTAGTTTATTAAATTTATTGCAATGACAATTGCTCTCGTACGAACTTCATCCAGTGTTTCCTTTCAAATAGGCGACAGATTCCCTTTGATGACCTGAAAAGGCTAGGAATACAGCCTCCACCAGAGGGACGATACATGTCCCGCTTTCAGGTACACATTTCCTTAAGGTATTTGGATAAGGTGATTTCTTTTGAAATACATATTGATAATATCATTGTGAAATAATGTATTTAGAATTCCAATTCTTTGTTTAGCAATCACCTAGAATTCTAAACTCTAGAATTTCAGATCCAAATCATGCTTGGCAAACCTCGAGAACAATAAATTTGCAAATGTCTTGGGTTTTTAAAGCCATTTAGAAATCCAGACTTGGCACCTTGTCAAAACAGGATATGGATTAGGCTCAATTCCAATTTCAAATTCTACAACTTGCCAAACAAGGAAATTGGGCAAATTTCAGACGTACAAACAAAATGCCCCTTTCCAAATAGACCATAAATGATAATTGTGATAGTTAAAAAAAATAAGATTATAGTTTCTATCTGGCAATGATCTAATTAACTTCGCTTAAGAATCGCAAGGCAGTTGTTTCTTTACTTTTACATTGTGAATAGAAGCACTGAACGTGTTTCCCTTTTTCTTTTATTGGTCATCAAAATTAACTTTTAATTGTTTCGTGTGATAACATTGGTTAATTGCTGCTGCCTTAAGTATGAACTTCAAATTCCTTATTTTCATTACATTTTGTTGTTCTTCATCATCAACTTATTCCCAACTATGTTGGGGTTGGTGGCATGGAATTTATACAGTCAAACTGTCAACTAATTTCCAAATATTACCGAACACCGTCAATTTATGCACAATCATAGTAAAAAAATTACACCAGACGGGATGCCTTTCATATCACAACCTTTTTACAAATGAATAATGATATAACGGCCATCCCAGTGCAAGCATTGCACTGAGCAAGGGTCCTGGAAATGATCCCACCACAAAAGCGTGGTCTAGCCAAATGTTACCTAATAGCATTATCTGGGATTCAATCATACCCTAAATTTATGCAGGATCCATCACCACCTAGAAGAGAAAGGATCTCTGGAGACGACGAAGATTCCCCCCTTCACAGCTACAAACAGAACAAGAGGGTACATCAGCACGAGATGCCACCCGATCAGGAACGTGATTCCAGCAGACACAAGCATTCCACAAGCAGAGAAGACACATCTCAAAAGAACCAAAAGCGCCGCAGGAGAGGAAGAAGATCCTCCAGCCCTGATTTTTCTTCTGAAGGGATGAGGAGTTCAAGGGACGGGGAAGAGCGCCCCTCTCTCCATCACCGTAAGCAAAGTCGGCATAGTAGCCGGCGGTCCCCTCTTCTTGACCGCTCGTCTGTTGAGAGATCGATTCACAGGGAGGAACTTCGTTCTGTACACAGGTCCCGATCACATCATTATGACAGGTGGTCACCAGGCAAGAAGAGGAAGAAGTCTCCTGTTGGTTAGGTAAAATTGCAATTTCAGTCAAATTTCTCTATAACAGTCATCATCTATACTTGTAGTTTGTACCCAAAACATAAAGACTTGACTTTTTGAAAATGAGAAAGCCTCTTTAATATTCCATATTTACTGCTTAGGGCACAAAATATGAATCACAAGTTTAAACATTTTATTATCATGCCAGGAAGTTAGAATCTCTGGAAAACAAGCTACAATTGTCAATCTTTTTTTCCCATTAACTCAAGAAAATATATGTACAATTAAAGAACAAGTGAAAAAAAGAGCTTTTGCCCATTTCTATTTATGCCACCATCATGTTGTATGCTTATGATTCCGTATAATAACAACATATGTCGTTATAGGCATATAACAATCGTGCAACTATAACTCCCAAAAAGATTTTTGACAAATGAAGAAAAAGATTTTAGACAAACGAAGCTTTTAGAGAGAGCTTGACTGTATCCTTTGGGGTGGGGTGGGGGGGGGGGGGGGG